ATATCAAATGTAACCTAGGGGTTTGATATTATATCATACATTTAGACTACTGAACTGGAATTCGGTGATCTGAATATTCCAATTTCATTGATATATTATACAGTTAAACGGTTGTCCACTGTGATCGGGGATTTGTTGCCTCACACACAATATGAATGAATGAAATCAGACGTAAATTGTAACAAGAAGTAAGAAAAATACATACTGAGGTAGTCGGTGGTGACTGAACGACTGTTGTTGAATCAAGTATTTTGTGGAGATAAATTAGATTTGAAAAATAGTTTTATCATAGCAGGACTAGTTAGTTGTAATACAAATTTTTGTATGACTGAGTAAAAATTACTTTCAAAATCCTGATTGATAATGATTCGAATGTTGCATGGCGTATGAAAACTTCCTGATGAAACAAGTGTCGTGAATTCTAGTGCTCGTATGCCTAAACTTATGTACGATTATGAAATACATTCAAGCCTGAAACTTCATGTTAATTTGAAGTAAACATTACTCTTTAAATGAAGCTCAGTAGATTTGTTAACGTGCTTTTAGATGGAAAAATTATTGTACTTCTTTAAGAAGTCAATCATATCTTAGATACACCTTTGAAAGGGTTGGTTTAATAGTAGAAATACTCGAATTTTATTCAGTAGGTGGTAGATTTGATCCCAACTCTACTTTGATCTGGGTGGCGCGATAGTATCAGTATCCCTTTTTCTTAAAAAGTGCTACCTGAAGTCAGTTACATGATTACGATTACTGAGGTTCATTTTACTAAAATTACCAGTTATGTGATTGAGGATAGAGAGAGTTTATGATTGAAAATATTTTTTAATAAGAAACTGAGTTAAACTATGGAGAGAAAATCATCTCCATATAGATTCAGCATAAAACATCCTTTTGTATGTTGATGTTAACAACAGACTATTATTATTTTTTCCAATTGACTAACAATTGATGAAATGAAATCACAGTTATTTAATCTATTTGGTTGTTGTTAAGAACTTGGATTACCTCAATTGGTTTTATATTTTTCGTTAATGAATATAAGTTATTGATGTAAATCGGAGTAGAAGTGGATGAAGATTGAACTGAAAACAATATTGTTTTGTTTGAACGTGTTGTTCTAGATAAGAATTTGTTGATTTTGGCTAATTTTAGATCAAAACTCTGCTTCTCATAGAAGACAGTAATAATGATAAAAGTAATCATAATAATGGTAATAATATTATTTCTATGAGATTGATTCTGTTCTAATGTTTACTGATATTCACAAATGTCCTTTTAAAATAAATACATACATAAGAATTTAGCTTTCAGAAGAGCTAATCCTATAAACAAATGTCAATCATTTCATGTGACGATATGGTTCAGTGAGAATTTTGTACAAAATTAACAACTAATACTGTTTTCTGTGAGATACAACAAAATCAATAGGTCGGTAATAATAATAATAATATAAATTCTAAACAATTATCACACTATTCATATCGTTTCCGACAATGATAACTGAAAAACCAGTGGTTATGGCTATATTAGATTTAAAACAGATTAAAATACTCCTTCCCTGAATACATTAAAGAGAAGAAAAATCTTTCAAATGACTAAACTTTGAAAAATATTGATGATTCGTATCTGACAATTTGTAATCACTGTTAAGATTGATTTCATGTTAAATCTCTTAAAAATCGATTTTGTGATATCAATAAGAATGAACTTTGGTTATCGTCTATTATTGAACTGTTAAACCGGATTTCAATGAACATACATTTCATTTGTGAATTATCATAATTTCAATGGAACTTTTACTTTCTGATTGTTTACTTCTTAAAGAAACAAAGAAGATTAACAGAAACGAAAAAGGGAAATCACAAATCTAAAATGAATTTTGATTTGTCATGAAAATTACAGTTACATTCTTCACAATCTAATGTTTGCTTTATTCAAGACATTTCAAAATGCATATCATAGTATTTCTTAGTGATTTGTACTAACACTAAATTAACCATATATATATATATATATATATATATATATATATATATATATATATATATATATACAAATAGCAGTTAAGTAATTGAATATATGAATGAAAATACTAAGGGTAACATCAATATATACATACATAAATATCAAGTTGCTTTATGTTACTTGCAGTAGAAAAAATCTATCACAATATTATTTAAGTATAATTTTAAAAACTATATCCTATTAGAAAAGATTAGGTTGAAATATTCCTTTGTATCAGTGATTTATAATTCTTCATATTGTGATTATTTACAAAAAAAGTGTTCTTTTCATGCAACATTATTTCTATTGCAGAAATTTACATAAATGCACAACTAAAAACGAAACGTAAACGTACATAAAGTTGTGAGTTGATGTACACAGTACAAAAAAAAACCAAACTCTTTTTGTTTGAATTCGATAGATTTCATTAGATAATGCGTATAAATGACTCGATGGGATTTATGTATAAGTTTTTGGAATTCATTTTTCCCTAATGCTTTCTTTACCAACACTGTTATTGTACTTTTGATCTCTAAATTCAATTCTCAACTACGAGATAATGAATAGCACTAACAAATAATAATTAAAAAGGTAGAAATACCTTTTTTCAATATTTATTGATTTCTTAGACACTGTACATTTTGTTTCCTGGAATTTTTTATGATGATGCTCATAGCGGAATTACAATTAGCATTGAAAGACAAACGTTAAATGGTTATTTTGATCTGGTTTAAGACTCCTTAATAGTGTCTAACATTATGTTTTTAAATGAAAACTTTCTGATTCCGAATTGAGCATTTACACTTAAACTAAAGAGATAGGATTTAGTAAATTCATATTTCCCACTCTAATTTATATGTGATGATCATGCAGTTATATGTGACTAGTTCAATGTTCATTGTTTATGTAATGACTGGATCAATCGTTAACGTAGCTTTCTTTTTTAAAAAAAGAATATTTGATAGTTAGCTTAACAGAAACACAAATTTTCTTAAACTATTTTTCTAGAAAGAATATAATTTGATCATAAAAATGTTTAATCCTTTCTCAAATTTTATTTTATCAGTTGACTTATTGTTTCACATGCAACAAAGTAATAAATCATTGACAGTAACGGAAAATAAACAAACCAACTAATGTAACTATTTGAAATATGAATTCAAGTTATGAAACTTAAATAATCATAAATGCAAACACATTTATGAATCTTTAAATTTAAAAGAAAAAGAATAACAGAAAACAACTATTGCTAGTCAATGAATAGAATTGTCTGTATGATTTATGTTTGAATGATACTTACTACAAACAATCGAACTAAACGATTGTAGAAACCTACTGGAAAGAAAACTATAATAGACAATGACTTCTGCTGTAGTGTTGATTCAGAAGACAAGTGTAGGTTTTGAATTATTTCACTTATGGAAAGGAAACAGGTAATCATACTTAAGTAGATGGAAAAATATTTGGAACCGCAAGTTACTGCTTAAAATCACTTGATTATGCTGAAAATTACAAAAATTATGACTGAAAATAATTGCTCACCAACTGAAATCCACACTTCGTAAATACCCCCTTAAAAGTAGCCTATCAAAATATCAACATCAATAATGAACTGACCAACTAGTTCAAATTTAATTTACACAAATGTTGAGCGATAAGTAGACAACAGTGTGAAAGTAGATATAGTTCAGAGAATCCAACGTAAGCTAATATCTAGATTTCTAATTAAAATTTCTGGCTATATACAAAGCGCTTGTATCGCTTAAAATTAATTTCGGAAACAAGGAATCCATCAAGTTAAGTAGTTATATAGGTTAATAAACATTTACTGAGTGATAAACACATTTACAATATTATGGATTTCCTGTATTGTACTGTTCAATAGTGAAGATTAAATTCTTTTAGAAGGACAACTTTTATTTCAAATGATGTTGATTATAGATCATTTGTTTAACTACTTATATTTCTAGAAATTTTACGTTTGATTTATGAACATACGTACCAGTATTTCGAACGTTCAGAAACCACTGAACGACTGTGTTATTTCCACTTGAGAATATTAATTTGACAGTGTACAGTTATCATATGACGTGCGATCCTAACTAGAACCTCATATAAACACTATATTTTGCAGCTATTGAATGAGGAAAGAATAAATCATGTTTTTTTTCAACTATTTTCCATTTATCATAAATTATTGAACTTTTTTAATTATTCTTCCTACTTCAAACAGCGTAATTAAGTCATTAAAAAAGAAATCACATCATCAAGCCTGGAAATTTTACTTCGTCAAAAGAAAATGACTGAAAATCAGGGAAACATTTCCTTGTATAAAATTATTTCATGTCTAGCACTTTGTGGTTTAAAAATTGTGCAAAGGGATATAAAACGTGCCAGAAATAATATGAAACTAGTCAAAGAATAAATTGTACTTGGTCAACCGAAATATTGTTCTCGAGATATCACCACACATTAGTTGGGTTTCGTTGATTAGTGCAGCTTTCACTTACAGAACAGATAGATAAGTGAAAACGATAACTAGGTGAGCAAAATCTTTTTTAGAGGCCAACTGCTTTCACAGATAGACATTTTGTTTAGTTCCTGGCTGGATTCCAGAAGTTATATATATATATATATATATATGTATATATATATATACATGTATATATATATATATACAGAAGTAAAAACATTGGATGATATCATATAATATACCAAACTGACGAAACTTGAAATTCCGGTCCATTTGGAATTCAATTCACAGGTCTGACTTAATTACTGCCATACTCTGAAGTAGGCACTCTAAACTAAAACAGAACAGGTATCGAATACTTCAATAGTTTCCTCAGTCATATTACTCTTTCATGAGTAATATCCCCAAATAAATGTATAGTGACTGACAAAATATTCTAATTAAGCAAGCAGTAATTAAACTTCATTAGTACATAACTCATTCATGTAAATAAAAAGATAAACTATGAATTATAACTTACTCTTTTCTATTTGATGATGAAGCTCGTCGTGTAACATCAAATGATTTTTGTTGTTTAGATAAATAATATTTAATTTCTTTTTCAACTGCTTTACGACAACCTGAACATTGAATAAAATTCAAGTCCATCTGTAGATAATCTTTATTTGAATGTGTATATGGTTGATGTAAATAATTCGATGAACGTCGGCGATGTTGATGTGGAAGTGGATGATTAGAATCAATTTGTTGTTCCTGAATATTCTCATCATCATTCAACTCACTTGTTGTAGTATCTGAGTATTGTTGTACAAATAATTTTGAATACTTTGGTTTTTCTACTTCAGTAATTTGACGCTCATCAGTAGATTGTAAATGTGTTCGACGTTTGGACGAAGATGATGAACAACGATGGCGAGATTTTACTGGTTGAGGACAAGATGTTTTGGGTGGTATTTTTAAATTTAAATTCTCTCCAGGTACATTTTTAGGCGATACAATTCCAGGTCCTGAACTCAAAGCAGTTGTGGGAGATTTCGGAACTGAACGACTCACTATGTTAGATACATTACCTAAAAAACAGAAAATAAGTGGATAGTTAGACTAAATATGCATATCCTTTTGATGCGCTTCAAGTTTATTCTAGAATCTTTGAGAGAAAAATTTTGTGTCCTACAACTGGAGACAACATGAATAATTGCGTCTACGAAATTCAATCTTCTTTTTCATGATATATTATCTAAGATAATATTTATTCGAATAAACTAATCAAATGGTACACTGAAGTGAAGTATTAAATTAGATTTTTCTATGACAACTATCCTGGAAATGTTTCCCCAAAGACTCGTTAATATGAACTACTTTCGCACTATCCTTTCCAAGTCCCAGTGACGTTTATTTTGTTGTGATCACAAGTATTTACCATTGTTCATAATAACCTACGTAGAAATGCTCGTATGTGCTAATCAGATTACGCTCAAGTACTCCCATTTGTTGTTACATGTTAAAAACTTTATAATTACTCAGAGTATGACTGCCTAAAAGATTCACCAAGCTAATAAAACACACCATACATAGAGAGGCTGTAAAAAAACTGTTGAAGTTTGAACATAAAAATTTCCTACCATTTAGTAGCTATCAGCTAAAAACGAGTTTTGGTCATTTTGGTTGCAGAAAGCGCTATATTTAGAATAATTAACTTTGCTAATCATTGGATAGGTAGTGATCAAGTTTGTACTAATTGCAATATGTCGTTAGCCCATTACGCTAATACACTGTTGCATAATAGTCACTCAACTGGGTAATCCAGTGGTAATTTTTAAACAGAAGTTAAAAATGATTGTTAGAATTTCCTTCAGTGCAAACACCAGCTTTGTATTTTTTTTTAATTAAGGCCTAAGGATGAACCCATTGGATGGCATTCGCTTATCCGATTGATAGAGTTAGTTGGAAATATTTAATGTATAAACACATCAAGCTTGTATTTAATTCGTTGCTGACTATAAACCGTTTTGTTTAATATTATAGTGTCAGTGTTATGATGCGAATACACTTTCTTGATTGTTTACATGTAATATGTATCGTGCTATCTGACTAACTCTTCAACGACCGTGACATTCTGCCAGTTCGCAACCAAATTTGTCGTACTGTGACCTGTTCATTCCAGTCCGATAATCAAACAACATATCTGTATTATACCAACACGAAGGACATCTTCTGCTTTGTTCTACTGTACTACTTGAACTTAGTTTGCTTATTTATTTATTGACTTATTTTCTGACTTATGCTGTCAGAGAGGTCAAATTTTCGCTGACTGGGGTATCACTATAATGTTTTTTTTTTCCTGTCGTAAACAATCCACTCAACTCTCAAGATATTTGAAATTTTTATGTCAAACTTTGTTAACGATCTAAATTTACACATGTATCTGTTAATGCTAAACATTCTGTCTATCCATTTGTTTTAAAATCCTTTAGTCTTAGTTAACTAATAATCCTTAATACAAAATAAGTAACTTATGGTAAGCATGAAAAATAGTATTTCAAAACATGTATGCGATTGTAAAACACACACCAAACAGTCAGACCTACACAGTATACATAATCAGTTAGAAAATATCGATTTTTTAAAAAAAAAGCTGACGAGTAATTTAGTGTAAAAACAAAATGCCTACCAATACTTCTATCTGGATAACTATTTGAAATTGGCCATGATATATCCATAACTTGAGCAAATTGATTAGGATCATGTAAGGTAGTGGACTTTTGTACAGGTAGTTTTTGATCATCACAATGATTATGTAGTCGTATATTATTTGTATTATTATTACTATTATTCTGTAGTGTACGTCCAGTTGAATGTTGTCCATCGCCAACATTAGTATTTGATACAGAATTTGAACTGAGACTGTTTGATATTGAATCGAATGATCTACTGAAATTACTTGTAGCTACAACCTTTATTGATGGAGAAAATTGAAATAGATTGTTTACTTATTATCATTGACAAATTCTTACACATTTCATTATGTTTTAATGTTTAAGAAACCAAACTAAATTCATTAGGCTACTGAAAATTTTACTTCCTTGCGATTTTTACTCACCACGAAGCATAGGTCATTGGTTAGCAATCTCTAACCTACTTTGGTTTAAGATCTTGTTCTAATTTTAGTCAAGTTATGTTCATTATTTTGATGTCTTCCGTTTCTCCGGTTTGACTGTTCCTTTGGCCTTGAGAGTTCCTAATTAGAGCTTGTTTCGTGACAGTTTGATGATTTCGGAAATCTATTTCCTAGTAACATCTAGTGGTTTTTTCCCAGTTTGCTCCTCAGCTGGAAGATTGTTTGTTGCCTGCCACAGTAGGTTGTTGCTGACGGTGTCTGGCCAAGGGATCCGGAATATCCTAAGTAGACAACTGTTTATAAATATCTGTCTTTCAAACTACGGTTTTGGTAGTTTTCAACTTTTCTGCTCCATGTAGTAGAACGACAATGACGTTTTTATTGAAGATTATGACTTTGTTATTGGCCGGTAAATACTTTGAGTTCCAGATGTTCTTCATTCGTAGAAACGCAGCCCTTACCCGGCTAATCTATACCTTCATGTCTTCATCGAATCCCGCTTATTCAATCAATGATTCTGTCGAGGTAAGTAAACGTTTTAACTCATATGGCTGCATTATGATTGATACTTTAGGACTCACTCCGTTTTGGACACAGTTGGTAGAGTTTTAAATAAAGAGAATCTTTTATTTCTATCAATTACATGCAAAGAATCCACCAGCTCCCTCAATAAATCCCTCTCCTGATTTCGACATTTAAAAATAGCCTATCATAAACCATATTGTTATTTACAGAGATTATTCAAGACCACAAGGAAAGAAGAAGACCAAAGAACAAATTACACCGAGAATTAGAAGCAGATATGCAAAGAACGAACAGCAACAATGCAGAACCGGAAATGAAGGCAAAGGATAGAGTAGGTTGCAGAATGCTGGTCGGCGGCCTATACTCCATGTGGGCTAACATGCGTAAGTAAATAAGTAAGTCACAACATCTGAGTATAATGATGAATTGGCAATATTTAATATGTAATGTTGAAATAATTACAGCAATACTGACAAATCTCTATTTCAGCTTTAAAAAAAATAAACCATAAATCATTTATTACTGAAAAGTTTTTTGATTAGTTTCAAACATCTATCCTACATATTGTAAATTTCAATAATGTTTTTCTGGTTGAATTAAATCAGTGATAAATATTTATATAATTTTGTGTATGCAATATATTGTTTCGATTTAATTGACAAACAAGTAAATAAAATCAAAGGAATATGTTTAAAAAATGAAATTTATCAATTGAAACAACTTTTATTCGATAATAATAATCACTATTATTAATAATATTATTATCGTTGGGTTCATTAGTATTATTATTATTATTATTATTATTATTAATGTGTTTCACTATCAATGAAGCGTATCAATTTAAAAAATTTGTGGTCTTTTATTATTCATAACATCAATTTTCAATTATTAATTTTACTCAATCTAATCTTTTTATTCGCTTCACTTTCATTTTACTTTATCAATTCAATTCAATTCAATTCGATTCATATCCAATGTATAAGAAAAAAATATTGTTTTGCTTTTGCCATCTAACCATAATTTGATAAATTTACTGTACGCTTACATTATTCTCATTTATTGCAGTGTTTTTGTTTTTATTAAATTTCATTTGAATTATTGTAAAATTAGTTTATGAAAATATTATCCATTTGTCATCATCAGCATCATCAACATCATCATTCAAACTGTGTTATACTCAACATAGTTGTTTTTTTCTAAATAATGAAATATAATAGTGTGTACTGTGAGAATATTTCATTACTCACTAGGAAAAAAAACAGTCTTAACTGGTCAACACGAAATTCTAATCAACTTAAGTCTAAAGAATAATGAAGAAGGAAATAGCAATAATAATATAGAAATGCGGCTCGAATATATACTGCTTCAATGAACAACAATCACCAGTTCACCTCAATTTGTGTGTGGAACTAACGTGATCAAATGAATTCTGTAACTTAATCGAATAGATTCACGCTTTCCTTAAACTTGTCATCAAGTACAAATAAGTATATAAACAAGACTAAGGGAAGGACTTCCACACGAATTTCAACATTTTAAGAATATTTTTCACTATAGAGTTATGAAGAATGTTGTTTACTACTGAAATCATGAATGAATTATTGTTAGACCACCGTTAAAAACGTGTAAGTGATGGACAGCCATTTCGCCCTAGTATGGGCTCGTCAGAAGGGCGCATCCACGACTGCTGAAGCTCGCAGGATTCAAACCCAGCACCTTCGGCCTTGCATGAGAACGCCTAAACTCTGGACCACTTGACCGGCGTCTAACGGAGTTAATGTCTAACTCTGATCAATCTAGGGATTTCGTATTCGTTAGTTATTGCCTACACCTGTCGGAGTTGAACTTCACTGTTCACATCTTCTCACTAAAACTCCGAGAATTTCCTTTCGAGCACATTGTACAATTTTCTATCATAGAGTTATGGAGATCGCTGTTTATAACTAATATTACGAATCAGTCACTGGTTATTAATTGATACATTTTTCATTGCAACTTTGGTGTTCAGAACTTGTCATCATCTTCAAGTAATTCCATCAAGTAAATAGTTATAGATTTAGATTGATCTTTATTTTTGAATTATATATTTCTCAATAACCATAATAATATTTGCAAAGCTAGTATTATTCACCTTATAGTATTAGATTTTTCACTTATTACTGTCTCAATCCTCTTGTTTCTATCTTCTATTTATAAATTTCATATGACTCAATTGAGTCAGCTTTCTTTTAATTCGTAAACTTCTCTGATTCGTCGTGAATTTCAGTTTGTTTACATACGAAAAACAATCTGTGGTATTCATTTTGGCTTTTATTAATAGAAACATTATTACTTGTAAGATAATAATGACGAGAAATTTCAATTTCATTGGTGTTATAAAACAAAATTAAATATTTAAATTAAATTTAAAAAATATTTAAATTATTGAATTAAAATGCTTTTATTCTACTTCTTTTTAATTCTTACCTTTTCAAGTGTACATCTTCTAGATAAAGGAAAATGATTCGTTTGTTGTTTCTGTCCACTAATTATTGTATTATTATTATTGGTTTTAGCAATTAATTGTTCACTAAGCATCGGACCAATATTACCGGATGTAACAGTAGTACTACAACAACTACTAGTAGTAGTAGTAACAGAAGTTGTAGGCAATAAATTTGATTTACGTGCAATATGTAAAATAACTTTATCCGGGAAATGTTGTAGCATACGCATTGCTTGTGTTAATGTATGACCATTATGCAAAGTGATACCGTTGATAGCGATAATTCGATCACCAGGATAAATGAGACCACATTCAGCACCAGGATCTCCAGGATTTAATGAATCGATCAATACAGGTATGTCTGGTGCATCGTCTGTTCCGCAAATCGTGATACCCCATGGACAATTCGATGATTTACGTCGTAATATCACTTGAACAACATTTATTTCAGGTTCTAAAAAAAATATTTTAAAAATATAATTTTTACTGGAGTTCTAAGGAGATTTTTTTTGTGATAATATGAAAAGTTGTACAGATTTCACATACAAATTGTAGTAAAACACTTTGTTCTACTTTCAGCCATATCGTCTGATAAAATGAGATATTTTATTTATTTAGAAAAAAGCTAACTGTTTCGATAGATTGTTTTCTATTCCCATTTTTTGTCTTGGGAAACAAATCATTAGCTCTTTATTTGTAGACGAATTTCGTGACATTCAAACAAAAACCAAATATATGCCAGTAGAAACTATGTCAATGTTTCATTTCATAATAATGAATGTTTTCAATAAGATAAAAACTGAATGAAAATCACTTGTCATCCAACTGTAAAAATTCATGCAAAAAACCAAATAGTCATTAAGATAAAATTTTAGAATAATAATAATTCATGCTGACATTCAACTTGGCAAACTTATCAATAAAAATTTTCTTCCCTGGTTCTTCTAAAGTAACGATGAAAAAAATCACACTTATATTGATTTCTTAGAATAGTTCAAAATTGAATTCATTGTTCAATTGGATTGACTGTGTAATTTCGATTTTGTTTGAATTATGCTACATGCTTCGACTAGTTTTTTACATGTGCATTAGACTGTTATCACACATTAGAGATTTTATTATTTCTGAATTTTTAAATGAATAAACTTTGAAGGTTAACATCGTTATGTTAGTTAGAATTCCTTATCTAATCGATAATCAACAAATGGATTTAAAGATGACAGCAAATTTGAAGAAGAAGAAGAAGAATGATGATAATGTCAATTGAGTATTTGTTTTTTCTTACGAATATTTGTTTAGTTTTTTTTAAGTGTGAATAAAGTTTCATAAAGTATTTTTATCACATCAAACAACGTTAATTTATTTTAAGTTAGAGCTTTGGAGATTTATGTTTTTTACACATTTCATTGTTAGACCAACATTAGAAACCTGGAAGCTTTGGACGGTCGTTTCATCCTGGCACAGGACTCATCAGCAGTGCGCATCCACGACTCCTGCACCTTGTAGGATTCGAACCCGGGACCTTCGGTATTGTGAGCGAATGCCTAACTGGGTCGGCATCCAACGGTGTTAATGTCTAACTCTGATTGATCTAAGGATTTTGCGCGACCTCATCCATTTGTCTTTGGTAGTTACTGCCTACACCCGACAGGGATGAACTCAATTGATCACGTCTTCTCACTAGAACTCTGAGAATTTCCTCATGAAGCTAGTCACTAATTAAGTAAGTAGATATTATTTATGTGTAGCAAGTTGATGATAACTGTTAGATTCTGTAAAATACGTGTGTATGTGTTTGTAAATAGTAGCAAACACTGATTAATTCATTCGTATCAGTCTCTTAACATTCACTCTTTAATTATAATTGACTTGTCACGTATAGCTAGTATTCTTCACTAAGGCTCATAGGCTGAATAACTTAGTTGAGTATCTGTTCAAGCATCTATAAATTATGACTAAAATCTTCTTTGAGGTAACATTATATTGACTGATCATAAAAAAATATAAGGAAGGAAGCAACAGCTGTCGATGCCTTAATGTTCTCATTTTTTTTCATAAACGCTTCATCTTCATTGCACGTTGTACTGATTATTATATGTGAAGAAATTCCCGTTTTAAAATAAACAATTTTTGACTGTTGTATTTTAGATATTTTCACTTTGTTTGTCACATCTAGACATTAAAATGATGCTGTAGTTCAGTAATATTCAATAAATTTTGATCATCGTAATGTTAGTTCACAATAATGACATGTTCCATTTTTCTTCAGGTTAACATGGTTTGGAATTTGAAACACCACAAATAATCTACACATATATTTAATCTGGGTATTTTTATTTTTCATTACAAAAGTTTTATGTTGTTTTCCGGTGAAAAATAGGTCAGAAAAATTCACAATGCATTTAAGTTTGAAAATATTTATGCCAGTTCAAATGGCAAGCATTTTTATGTGTACTTCCTTTTATTTCGTTTACTTTTTGATGTGATCCACCACTATAAAAAGTGCGAGTTTTTTGTTTACCAGTTTAACCTTCACCTGGACTGACACTTTTGCAAATGCAAAAATCACACAGCCTAAGCTTACTAGTATTATTATGAAAATATTGAAGATTGAAACACCATTTTTTTCACACTTAATGTTATGTTTTTTTATACTCAATGAAAAATCAAAGCATGATCGTCTTCTAACCAAACTACGTAATGGCGGAGACGAATCTGACTCATCCATGGTTTCCACATATATTATAATAAATATATATTACAGCTTTTGTGCGGATGAATAAAAATTCTTAGTTACATCGGTCAGCCAGTCGTTATCAACCTACAGCTTGATACAAATGTGCGCTAGCTGTAATCACCATATAAAATCATCACGACGCGATGAAATTAATGGGATGAATGGAAAAGGTGTCAAGGTAACTTGAGATCAATGATAAAAAGAATCACTTAAAAAAGGGGATGTTTCGAGCAGAAGTTTAAAGAAGTAGTGAGTCCAAGAACTAGAATAAGTTGAAGAAGCAGTGTATCTACATCTTTATCACTAGTCCTCAGTACGCCGTCCAAAAGTCTCCAACCTCTGATCGTGGCTGTTTCACAGGTACTTCACACCTACCGATATAGCTCAAATAAACAGTCAGTGATTTCATAGATTTGTGTAGTAAAGTGATTGTTAACCTCTAGTCTTTCTCCAAGTTTCTCCTCTATACGTTGTTGTCTGTGGATTTCGTATCACTTGTAAGCAAACCAGTTAAAATCATAAAAGATAACTTAATAATCTTATCTTAACATTCAGTTTATCAGAATATCCAGTTGCAAACTTAAAACATTTTAATATCTATTAAGATGACCTAGTTGCAGTTAGAGAGTTATTTTTACTTCTTAACAATTTGCAACAGTCCATTTATAGAACTGTAAGCTGTCTCTCATGTGACTATGACTTTTTCTAACTTTGAAACAGTGAATAGTCTTTTTTTTCAAGAAAGATAATTGTTTTGCACTTCCTACTTAAATTTGGTATTTTTGTTTCGACTTTTAGATTAAAACCATCTTAAACTCAATTGAAATTATCGCAGACCACTTAAAATAGTTCTCGATGTCCTAATAAGGGATTGACAACAACTATTTAGTGAACAAAAAACTATTTGATAATTTTAACAAATAATTTCTTGGAAAAACAGTTGATCTATTAAAATAAATTATAATACGTATATATATATATAAACTATAGCATGAGAATGACCCAAGAATGAAATTATTTTTTTCTTTTATTATCCTTAATAAATCTAAAAACATCTGCCTCACGCATCCACAAATTAATTATCTCTCGATAATTTAATCCAACGCATTTAAACAATGCGTACGGTGACCTTGACCTAAAGTTTAATATCCCATCTTGTTCTACAACTGAATGAGTATGAATTTGATTGATTCGAAACTGAAAATTATATGTGTTGGTAGTTACTGCTGGTTAAAATTATACTGTGAATAAAGAACGTTGTTAAAAATAATATAAAAATTGAAAAATAAGCTGTTTTGAAACCGATTTCCATAATATGTGTTACATATTTACCAGTAACTCCTTACTTTATTCTATCTATTGATTAAAGTAAGTGATAGAATAGTCAATGGTGTGACCAAATAACTTAGTTAGCTAGAATGTCGTGATGTCAAATGGGACCATTATCTTCCATACTATGTTTGACACTACCAACCGAAATTCTGTGATGAGCATAAGTTTCCTAGTTATTAGAATATCAATAACATTATGGATGGTAACTTACTTACCTAGTGTATAATCTAATTTAGAACTCATGCATTGACTAGGCAGATTATCGAATTGATTTCGATCTGATTCATCTTGATTAGGTTTTTGACCTTTAACATTTTGAAATGGATGCAATCGATGTGTATGATCTTTTACTGTTGGACTATTACTGGTACCAGCAGGATATCTACACAACTTATCAGATTCGCCCAAATCACTGGGAAATAATTTTTCAATTGGATACTGTTGTACTACTGTAGAATATTGTTGTTGTTGTTGTTGCTGATGGCGAAATGATTTGCGAGATGATTGACCATGAGAATATGATGAAGTAGATGAGGTATTATGATCTGATAATTTCTTTGTATCCTCAGTGGAATTCTCTCTACTGTAAGCATCTTCATTTTGTGGCGTTCTAAATTGTGTTTCCGGTTTTAAACACTTATGAATTAAATTCTCGTCAAAACTTTTTCGATACAACTGCTTACGTTGATGTTGTTGTTGTTGTTGTTGTTTTTGGTGAGGTTGTCTATCGTAACAATGATCATTTAAAACAGAATTATCAGAGCCATGCTTCATTTCTAATCCTGGTTTTGACGAATAAGCATCCATTTTTTGTATTCTCAATATGATTATATCATCGTCTGGTGATTGTAAAAGTTGTATTGCCTCAGAAAGACTACATGATGAAAGATGAATACCATTGACAGCTAACAAGATATCACCTGGACTGATAGAACCACTACGACTTGCAACACTACCTGGAATAACTTTACTAATTAACAAAGGCTGTCCAGCTGTTTTATTGATTGATGCTATTGAAGTTATTTTAATAAGAAAATAAATGAATATCAAAAAGCACATACTATTTTATTATTCATTTGTAAATAAATGAATAAATACTTCATGATATTAAATGAGTAAATGATCAAGTGTTAAAAGAAGATATTCTATCATGATTGTTAAAACTCCAGAGAGAGACATATGTATATCAGACGTTTACATTCTAAATTGATTTTTAATCAATTTAAGGTTGTTTCTTCTTAACAAGTGAAATGTAAAATTTCATTTCATTCTAATAAACGAAGTTTTCGAGTGGTAAACGTTTAAACATATCGATTTTTTGTAATGACATAGAATGTCGCTCATGATTCATTCACAAATATTTTCAAGTCCTCTCATGGTCATAAAAAGTTGATTAACTTTTATTTTTGACTAATAGAAGTTATGTACCACTGAATACTGCCAAAATATTTAATGAAAGGAACTTGATCAGTAGTGAGTGGGAATTGTTTATGTGAATACATAATGTCATATAGTTAGCAACATTGTAACTTTATAGATCTGGGCAGAATATATTAAAATGTTACAAACTGTTACTGTTTGCCTCTCTCAAACTCATGAAGATGTTTAACTAATATTTAATACTAGAAAGAGATTGTTTATTGACATCTGAATTACTGACAGGTGCTCACTGCTGTTTTTAATTTCTTTCATGAGTTAGTAACCTGCATACGTTTATGATGAAAATGAAACCGAGTGACACAACATTAGAAATCTGCAGTAAAAGCATTTATCTAATAGAGTTTCAATAAAACAGAAGATAGTACGAGGTTTGAGTCCTAATGTAAACTTTTAAACTAGGGTTAATTTTAAATAAGAATTCAATAATCATCCTGTATTTCACCGCCTGACATAATCTTATTGTCTGATGAAAGTTGTTGTAAAATGGTTATTTCAAGGTCATCCTCTGAAGAAGGTGCACATTCCAACGAGGAGTGGTCAGTTTATTGACATCACAAATAATGATTTTGAACAAAATATAATCATTCAAAACAAAGCAAATTAATATAGCTATTCAAATAGAATATACTGTAGCTAACCGAGTACAGTTTGAACTCACCTTGAAGATTAATACCCAAGCTGACTGATCTTCTTATCAATTTTACATCAAAAATACCTGTTGCAGGAACCACTGAATCTGCTACAGTGTACTGTATCAAAAGTGTTAATGATTGAACACGAAAATATTTCTTGTCAATATCAGCTGGTTCTAAGTACCTCTGAATCAGTTCATCAATAGTTCTGTTCAATGTAGATTGACCATTAATGCAGATTACCCTATCACCTTCTTGAATAACACCAGATCTATAAATTCAGTAAAATACTCATTTATATAAATGATTTTAGAAAACAATACTTGCTATCTGAATGCTTAATAACTGCAAAATATCAATAACCATAATAGTTGAGCCCATTCATCTATGTGTTCTAATGACGTGTAAATAAAATAACTTGTATGGGTTTGTTTAGGAATGAACAGTGAACCTGAACATGAACACTGACAAAACACATTACGAATACATTTTTCTGTAACTTCAAAATTCGCTGGCATTTTCTGATGTAATAATGTTTTTATGTGCACAGCTTATGATCTACTGCTAAATATATAAAACTGTTCTACATCAATTCTGAGTTCTGTTAAAAATATAAAACTATTCCGAAAACCCCAGCTTCATCATTGATTGTTAGCCTGTGGATCAGTGAAGACATATTCTGTTTCAATGGTCGTGCTGTTTTGAACGAAGACGGAAAATTAGATGGGATAAGCGATCTATTTGATGGAGACTTAGTTATACACATCAAAATGTGTACACCATTTCTTCAAACATCCATTTGATAAACAAGCCAATTCTTGGCTGCCTTTTTCCAATAGTCTCCTAGTCTTCAAAACACTCTGATTGTGCCATACATCCGGCCGTTACTTCAAGGTGATACTTCACCGCGTATTCACTGTATACTACTTATAAGCTTTCATGTGAGCAGAACACACCACAGTAAAATATCAAGTTCATATTAATTTCTGTTTGTTTGCGAATAAATCCTAATTGTTCTTAATTAGAACGTACCTAAAGCTAAATTCCTAACAGTTGTCAAACATTTAACTATGTATCTAATAGGAGTAGTTATCAGTACAATAAATTAAATAAAATGCTTATACGAATACTTTTGATGCCTTTTTTATACCTCTGTAATAGACTTTCATTTGCTGGTTGTTCAAAGTAAAAAATACATGATATGGACTGATGCACAGAAAGATGTGAGGCTATGAGTGATTATTTATTATAGCATGAAACAGCAATTACACCACTAGTTACAATGACATCAAGAATTAAAGTGATAAACAAAACTTATTTTCAATCATTAGATCAATAGGTAAATTTGCGTACATCTGATGAGCAGTAGTTGAGAGCAACTGAACAGTAATTTCATGAATATCAATATCTAGTTAAGTGATAAAGTCATTCGGTTCTCAAACATTGATATCGTTTTCTAGAAATTGAGCACCGGTTTCTAAATATCTGGTTTATTACTATACTATTTGTAGCCGTTTTACAGTCATAGCAGACAGCTATACTAACATCAATCACAACAATTTTTCTGTATGCTGGAATCAGGCATAATCATTTTTATTATACAGATATGGACGTTGTTGTTTCTCAGTTGAAATCGTTAATGGATCATTGTTAGACCACTACTAGAAAACTGGAAGCAACGAATGGGCCGTTTCGTCCCAGTATGGGGCTCATCAGCAGTGCGCATCCACGACTCCTGCACCTCACAGGATCCGAACACAGGACCTTCGGTATTGCGTGTGGACACTTAACCTCTGGACAATCGAGCCGGCATTCAACGATGTTATTTTCTAACTTTGATCAACTGAACTGCTGATGAGTCCCGTACTAGGGACGAAACGGTCCTCAAGAGCGTTCGGGTTTCTACAATGATGGATTCATGATTTCAAATAATTATTCTTTAACTATGAATACACATTTATGGGACTGATAAATAGATTCCTTCATAATGTTAAAACTTATTATTAACGGAGTTATAAAAGTGTGCACCTGTAGAAAACCGTGACTGTCTTATTTCATTTTAACGATTTAGGAATGAAAATAGCTATGTTAAAACTGATTAACCATAGAAATTAATAAGTCCCTTCCATTGAAGCCGAATTTTGCATCGTATCACCTAGAGTCTTGAGAAGTGGAAATCCTAACATGATTAATTTCAGTAGTCAATAGCTATTTTGGATTGAAAAATTTATATCATCTCTCCGAATTCACTTGTACACTAGCCTGAGTATGTGCAAAACATGTTTAAACGATTTCGGTAGATAAAATTTCACAGCTATTACTAAACATCAATCAATTTAGTCTTCTTCTTTTAAATTACTTTAAATTGTACATTCTGTCTTCCATTGGACATGTTTTCAGTTCAAATTCCCACACAAATAATACTGACAAACAAATATATATATATATATATAAATATTTCATTTTTATTTTTTATGTTGGGGCAAAATTTGATTTTCGCATAAATGGATGACCAAAAAAGCAAAAGAAGAAGAAGAGGTAGGCAATCGATGCATTCGATTAGGATAATCGAACGGGTGATTGATTTTTTTATTGAGTTAAAATGTTCCTATTCATCTTTGCTTATTCACATATATTAGTTGTGAGAATAAAAATAGTAGAGATAATTTGAATAGTCTTTATTCAATGCTAAAATAACATTATTATTATTATCTTAAGTTAGATAACACTTTTTATATGGATTGCATGAACAATCAGATTTAACGAAAAAGAGACTCGCATTAGGAGGTTGTGAAGATTGTTAAGTTACACATTTTTGAAACCATGAATCGATCAATGTCAGACCACCTGTAGAAACATGGAAGCACTGGACGGCTGTTTCGTCCTGGAATGGGACTTCTCGGGAGTGCGCACTCACGACACCTGCACCCAGCAGGATACGAACACAGGACCTCCGGCATTGTAGGCGAACGCCTAACCTCTGGACCACTGAGCCGGTGTCTAACGGTGTTAATGTCTAACTTGATCAGTTCACGGAGTTGCGCAACCTCATACACTGTCTTCGGTAGTTACTGTCTACACCCGAACAGGTTAAACTTTACTGGTCACCTCTTCCCACTAGAACTCGGAGAAGATTCCTCCTGGAGCTAGTCACTAGTGAGCACAGGTAATTTTCATTAAGGGGTTGTGAAGATTTTTAAGTTACACATTTTTGAAACCATGAAAAGAGACTCAATCAATTGTATGGAATTCGAATTATTTGTTTCGTTTTCGTGTGATTGAAATTAGCCATGTGGTTAGGATGGTTTATAGTAGGGATATGGAATATACAATTCAAGTTTTTGTTTCGTTAAGTTAATATTAACTTATTATTTTTGAAAAAAAAGTATAATTTACTTGCAATAGGTGTCATGATGAATTTCTTCTTGTCTTATGAAAATGATCTTTTCTCTTCGATAGTTCAAATTTTTATGTGAATCAGTTTGTTCAACAGTTTTGTTACTTTTTGACAGATATGGATGAATTATTCAAACAGAGAAACATCATTTTGTTTATCTAAACGATGATTGTATTTGAAATAATATTGCACATGTTTGTTCAACTTTTAGTTTCACTAATCACTTTCTAATACTATCTGACTAAAGTTTGTTTTGTATAGTAGACATTTTTTCGAGTGTTCCGATGTCTAAAAAAATGAATGTTTTGACCATTTTGTTATCTTACACAACTGATATATCTGTAACCTTGAAAATCATTATTTTCAGTTTTTGAATGATATCGTTAGCTCTATGATATAACCCGCTACCAATCAGTCATTATTACACTTGCAGTTAATAGGAGTAAAAAAATACTTTAAAATGAACCGTTAGTAAATTCAAAATTAACTTCGTATAATTAAAGAACACCTATATTTTCTGTTGATGTCTATTTAATCCCACAAAATGAAATTTATTCGACAACATAACTATAACATTAAAATCACTAGAAATATATTTATGTATCATATTAATACATTTTGCAATCCCAAGTAAAACAACAAGCAACCTCATCTCAAAATTGTTGTCAGTATAATGAACAGTAAACATGTTTAGCTGTATTTTGTAACTTGAAAAACAAATATATTTGTATGACGGAGTTGTGAAGATTGTTAAGTTACACATTTGAAATCTTGAATCGATCAATGTTAGACCACTATCAGAAGCCTGGAAGCACTGGACGGCCGTTTCGTCCTGGTATGGGACTCATCAGAAGTGGGAAGTCGTGACCAGTGAATTTCAAACTGTTATAGTGTAGACTGTTACTACCGAAGACAGTGTATGGGGTTGCGCAGCTCCGTGAATTGATTGAAGTTGGACATTAACACCGTTAGATACCGGCTCAGTGGTCCAGAGGTTAGGCGTTCGCGCACAAGACCGAAGGTCCTTGGTTCGAAGCATGTGAGGTGCAAGAGTCGTGGACGCGCATTGCTGACAAGTCTCATACCAGGAACAACGGCCCTCCAGAGCTTTCAGGTTTCTACAGGTGGTGTAACATTGATCGATTCATAGTTTCAAATAAATTTGTCTCTCGATGATTAATGTTATTCCACCAAAACTCAAATTATGTTAAAATTGAATCAAATTTTAATTTCTGTTTGACTTATAGATTATTATAATGAACTAGTGACATAAGATAAACTAAACTAAATTTATTTACTTAATTATCAAGTAGAATTTCAAATTTATATCTTCCATCGATCCCGACGTAAGATGTCTATCCTAATAAATTCTATGATCTAAAACAGACCAAAAATGAAAATAAAACTGACACCAGAAGAATAGGATCACTAAAACCATTAATCAATCTAATTGTAAAACTTAAATACACGTTAAAGCCTGTCTGCGAATTTGAAATTCGCACGCATAGTAGATATTCTTGTTCAGTTTCAAATGAAGCTTTAAATCTCAAGAATACGAAAAATATGTATCACATTAATTTGTTCGGATTAAACTAATTTCGCATCATCAATTTTTAACATTAAATGGTGGATATTATATAGTTTATTCATTTGAAAATTTACAATAAAGTTGTTTTGGTTACTTGATGAATTAACTTTACTAACTACTTAAGATAATGATTCATGGCAGAAGTTGCATACTTGCTCAGTACTTTGAAAAAATCTTTAATGATCAGCGAAATTCCTTTAAATATTTTGAATTTGTCTGATTTCTTCACTTTAAAATAAATATGAATAAAAGTAATGCAGTGAATTACAGCATAATCAAATTCACA